GTTCCCGACTGTGAGCCAAAAACGCACTTTTTTCGCCCTTTTTGTGCGTTTAAACGCGTTTTCAGGCAAAAAACGCGTTTACACGCATACAAAAAAGAGAAAAAGTGGTCGTGTTTTTATACTCGGGATGCACAAAAAGGGCGAAAAAAGTGCGTTTTTGGCTCACAGTCGGGAACCTCAAGTGTGAGCCAAAAACGTCCACTTTTTGTGGATTTTAGGCTAATTCTGTGCGTTTAAACGCGTTTTCTCAAAAGTTTGTCTGCTTGGGTTGTTGCTCTATGAAGATGGAATGAATCTTAAACTTTAAGGAGTGGACTGGAATCGTCACCTGACGGGCTACAAATCTACGAAAGGCCGAAACTCTTATCTGAATTCGTTAAAAAGTTATGAGTCAAATACTGACGGCATTTAACTGGTTTTTTTGTCACATTTACTTTGCACGAAGTATTTTCAAATTAATGTTAATGATGTTTTTCAATATGCTGGATAAATTGGTAATACTTGTTATGATATAGAACAATCCTTTTTTCTATCAAAATATTATAATTAGCCACTAAACGATATTACTTTGAAATGCTATTATATGGTTAACTTGAAATACATACATAATATTTTACAACTATTTATCATCACAAGCGATACACATGCCTAGAGTGATACGCAGATGAGATCATAATTTTGCTGTCTGATCGATTTACTGAAGAAATCGGGGAACAATTGGTAAACGAAGAGGAAAAAGTGGATTCGGAGGCAGAAGAGATAAATGATTAACAATATACGCTGCTACACTTACTCCTTTTCGTAGCTGTTATTAAAAAAATGAAATAGAAAATATTGCGCTTGTGATGATAAATATTTGTAAAATATTATGTATGTATTTCAAGTTAACCATATAATAGCATTTCAAAGTAATATCGTTTAGTGGCTAATTATAATATTTTGATAGAAAAAAGGATTGTTCTATATCATAACAAGTATTACCAATTTATCCAGCATATTGAAAAACATCATTAACATTAATTTGAAAATACTTCGTGCAAAGTAAATGTGACAAAAAACCAGTTAAATGCCGTCAGTATTTGACTCATAACTTTTTGATGAATTGAGATAAGAGTTTCGGCCTTTCGTAGATTTGTAGCCCGTCAGGTGACGATTCCAGTCCACTCCTTAAAGTTTACGATTCATTCTATCTTCATGGAGCAACAGTCAACTGTTCCAAGATGACCATGGATCACTACTGATTTATAAAATAAATCTCAACAATTTTACATGAACCGATGCGCTAGATAAGCCGATTTCAAATGGAGAAAACCGCAGCTTTCTACCTTGTTACTATCGAAAGTTATTCAAAAAATACCCACCCGCCTTTTTTTTTGAAATGGCCATTAGTTGATAATCTCTGCCATCTTCTTTCATTACCAAAGTATTCTACGAAATCATTGACATAATATGAGTGGTTATCAGTCTGTTTTCTCTCTCTCTCTATCTCTTTTCAAGATTATTTAAATGGTTGTTTTTCCAAGCCAGCCATGAAACCCGTTCAATTCTGGCTTCTTAAACTTGAATATAAATGTTAAAGAGTTTTTGCGTCGTTCATCACTCAATTAAATATTATGTAATGAAACGGTTCACCATTTATTTTATCCTTCTCTCTAAACCGAAAAATAATTACGGCTTCCAGGTATAGTGAAAACTCTGGCCTGTTGATCGCTCGACCTTCCTTCCTTTAGGTTGATAAACTACCACCAAGATTCTTCTACTATATTAGCAGAAAGCATTCTAGGTTTCGTAAATGTGTCAATAATTTTTGAATTCACAATTTAATTTTTATTTAAAGACATTGATATTTTCTCATTAGTTTTCATTTTCACCAATGATTTCTACGCAATTCATTGGTACTATGCAATTACATTGAACTATAAAATATTACAGCATTTCATCGAGTATGATTTATCCATGTGACAAACTTGTTACCACGAATAGGGAGTGAACAAATATTCTACTAATTCTACACATAATACAGACTAACTGTTCATTGATTAGCTTCAGCGTGATGAATAAAATTAGATATACAAAAACTTTCTAGCTAATATCTAGATTATTAAAATCGATTCAATCTTGACACTAATATTTGACTAATTTAGCGCCAGCTTCTGATGCTCAAACTCGTATTTGGCTTGATGAACGAAATTGTTTCAATACCGACCAACGAGTTCTCGCAATTTATAATACACCTTTTCTTTTTCGTCTGTGCCAAACATATACTTTATCGATTCAACAACTTAGACAAACTCTTCAACTAATTGTTACAAAGCATGAATCACTTCGAACATCACTCTTCTTCGATACAGAAAAGAACCAACTCATGCAACGAATTATTCACTTCAGCGAGAATAATAATAGATTGTTTGAATTCATGGAAAGTACTTTTGAAACTGATAAAGACCTCGATCTCATTATGCATGAAGAGAAGCGAAACTCTCAACTGTTCAATCTTGATCAAGGTCTTGTCTTCCGATGTCATATTCTTCACCATATACCACTCTCTTCAAATGATCTTCTTTGTGATAAAGATGTAATCATTTTCAACTTTCACCATGCGTCGTTCGATCTTGCATCAATGGATGTGTTTCTGCACGATCTCAATCAAGCTTATACAGCAGGTGAACTATCTACAAGTGACGATACTACTCTGCGTTATATTGATTGTCAGTAAAAATATTTCTTGCTTTTAATTCGAATCACTTCTTTGTTCTTATTTAGATGCTACCATCGAAAAACAAATGTCAATGACTGCTGCAAGTATGTATTGGCGATATACTCTTCGAGGTTATAACATCAATCATTCATTACCCTTACCATTTGATCGATATCGTCTTTCTGATGAACGTCGAACTGGTCTTGGAATATCTGTCTCTTTTGATTTTGGTGAAGATCTTTCGCGAGCTTTTCTCACTTATTCATTATCAAATGGCATAACACCCGAACAATTGGCACTTGCTAGTTATTTTGCTTTTATGTTCAAATTGACTAATGGTGAATGTGATTTATGTATTGGAATGAACACACATGGAAGATATAAAGAAGAGTTGATGTCAGTGATAGGACTGTTCGTCAATAATATTCCTTTACGATGTCAACTAGATCCTCATTGGTCTTTTCATCAGCTAGCTGAACATGTTAAAGAGATATTTACAAATAGTTTAGAGTATTCTTATTTTCCTCTTCAACGAATTCTGGCTCAACATCCTAATGCTACAAAACCAGTATTTCTGGATACATCATTCGAATTTCAATCGTATAAGTGTAAAACTGATAAGAATGAAGTGATGATTGGAAATGCTCGACTTGTTGCTACGCCCGTCTCAATTGAAATTGATGCAGATGAAATAATGAGCGAATTTGATTTCGTTCTTACTATTCAACATGATTTGGATACTGATCAACTTTCATGCACAATCAATGCGTCACTGGACTTGTTTGATAAAATAACAGTGGATAGAATGAGCCAGCGATTTTGTTCTATGTTAGAACAACTGTTGAACATAAATGATAACCAGATGAAGAAATCAATCTATGAATTATCATTAGTATTACCAGATGAAATATTACTTATGAAATCAATGAACAATACACAAGTATTATTTCCTTCTTTCACTTGTATACATCATGAATTTGTTCGTCAAGTGATGGAGCATCCACAAAAAGTGGCCGTCGAATTGGATGATCAATCTGTTACATATGACGAACTTTTATATTATGTTCAAGTATTATCTTTGAATCTTTTGAATGAACAAAGAGTGATTGTCGGTGAGATTGTTTGTCAATGTGTGGAGAGAAGTTTATCAATGGTAAGTTAATCTAACAAATAACTCTGCCACAAAATAATGGACTATCTTACTAGGTAATTGGCATGATGGCTATCGAGATGAGTGGTGGTGTTTATTGTCCTCTATCACCTCGAGATCCACAATATCGGTTGCATGTACTGATGAAGGAAATTGAATGTCGTCTTGTTCTTGTTCACTATCTCACAGAAACTAAATTCATTAATAATTTTGTTTCATTAAACCTTGACAGTGCATTAATCAATAGCGAAGATGAAAGCCATGTTAATTTCGACAGAATTTCAAGAGTATTAGCTACAGAATATAGTATAGCCTACATTATACACACGAGTGGTTCAACTGGAAAACCAAAAGCAGTAAGTCAGACACATTCTCGCAAACCTTTGTTTAGTTTCTCTTCTGTGCATAGCTACAAGCTAGTCATAGAAATTTCAGTAATAGTATTTACTCTTTGGTTCATAGTTATACATTCAATGAGAATGATACAGTTGGACAAATAGCACGATGTTCTTTTGACAACCATATTCAAGAAATATTAGGCACATTAATGATTGGAGCGACAACAGTAATGCTTCGACCTCGAGGGACTACTCATTGGGAATATCTCTCAAGTGTTCTTGAAAAGAAACAAATTACATACATGCATACTGTACCAAATTTACTTTACAGTCTTTTCGCTTATATTGTAAAATCAAAAAAGCAGGAAGCTTTACAATATCTCAGATCACTTTGCAGCGTTGGTAAGTAACCAGCGAATTACTTTTCGCAAATTTTTCTATGCTTCGCTTTACTTATTCAGGTGAACCATTCAATGTCAAACTACTAGATTTGATCAAAACTAGTGCTATTCGAAAATGTCGTATATGGAATTTCTATGGACAAACCGAGATAACCATAGCTTCTACATTTCATCTCGTAGATGTTGCAGTCGATAAGAAAAGGATTGAGATCGGTGTTCCACTTCCTAATTATCAATGTATCATTCAAGATGAATTCTCACAATCAGTCGTTCTTGGCCAAGAGGGTTATCTGTTCACAGGAGGTGTAGGTGTTTTTGCTGGTTATCTTGGACGTGATGATTTGACATCAAAAGCACTAGTTGACATTGATGGAGAAATGTTCTATCGGACAGGTGATCTTGTTAAAATGGATAACAAGGGACTTCTTCATTACCAAGGAAGAAAAGATCATCAAATCAAACTACATGGACAACGTATTGAGCTTGGAGAAATTGAACGATGTTTACTTAATACATCAGTTTCTGCTTGTGTTGCCATTAAATGGGATGATGATCATTTAATTGCTTATGTTCAAAGCTCTCATATCGATGAAGAACAACTACGTAAACATTGTCAATCTCATCTTCCACATCATATGGTTCCATCATTATTTATTGTACTTGACAAATTACCTCTGAATGCAAATGGAAAAATA